TGTGTGTGTGTGTGTGTGTGTGTGTGTGTGTGTGTGTGTGTGTGTGTGTGTGTGTGTGTGTGTGTGTGTGTGTGTGTATATATATATATATATATATAAACTGCTGTACACCTTGTGAGCCCTTTCATCACATGAGTTCAGACAATGCGTCAATATAAACGCTGGCTTATAGTTCGTCTACGGTCGATACTTCACTCCGCGAGTTGTACTCCTACTACGAGTAACCAATACATAAGCGTAACAGATGCCAGCAACGAGAGGTACAGATACGACCCCTATAGACACACGTCAGGTATCAGGCATATGTATATCCACATATTCAATGATGTAGTGAGTGATTGAATGATGTGGTAAGTGGATATATGACCATATGAAACAATGCCTTTTGGTGTATATAGCGAACGCAAAAGTAAATGACAGTCAGTTGCATAGTACACGTTACCTGCGAGTAGTGTGCCATGCATGGATTAGGCATACGCCATATAAAAGACATATATATAACCACATGTGCAATGATATTGGAAGTGATTGTATAAACACCTGTAGCAGCTGATGTAGTCAGTGAATGTGTGAGCATATGCATCAACCGCTGCACGTGTGTATATCCAACGCCTTTTCATATGAGAGCCATTCGCATTGCAGACTTGACCTGCGAGTAGTGTGTCATGCATGAGATATGCACACGCCATAAAACCTACCAGCGATATACATAACCACACATACAATGATGTAGCGTTTGATTGTATAAACACACGGGCCAACTAATACAGCGGTGATCATATGAACATATGTAACAACAGCTGTACGTGTACATACCCAACGCATTCGCCAATGACAGTCACGCACGTACCTGCGAGTAGTGTGCCATGCATGAGCTAGGGATGACATCAATGTCCAGGGGCATCACCCAACCCGTCTCAATGTTCTGCTGAGCGACGTTCCCTGTGTGTATGTGCGTGAGTGAGTGAATGAGTGAGTGAGTGAGTGAGTGAGTGTGTGTGTGTGTGTGT